CTTTCCCTAAAATAAAGTGAGATGTGGAGATTAAAATTTGAGCAGAAAATGAAATATATTATTAATTTCAACCTAGTTTCAAAAATATCAAGGTTGTCAAAGGTGAATATGTTTAAATTAACACATTCCAAGTATCTGGGGCTACTCCGAGTTACTGAAAATACAAGACTGAACTCGCTAATTTCTATCCATGTGAAATTGCTCATGGGCCCCTGAACCACTGACTGTTTCCTACTGAAAAGAGAGAACAAATGGTGTTACCCACACTAAGGAGAGGAGCTCCAGTGAGGCCCCAGTTCAGTCAACATGCAAGACTAAATCTACAAATCTAATAGTTGAATGTTTCTGTACAGAGAAGCGATAGTTGTTGTTTTAGTGGGATAAAAATAAACAGAACAAAATATTTTCTGTACAGAAATATCATGTCCCAAACTCTACTACAACTCTTGAGTTGTCTACTTATCTTTCTGTCAAGGTAGGAGTAAAACTTCACCTTGAAAGTAGGAAATTATTTGCATACCATCATATGAAGGCAATAGCTGTTCCCATGGATACATCGTTCCCAACATTTATTTGTGTACACTAATCTCTGTAGGATACTGTGGTTAGAATCAATTGGATTTTCGATACTTTCAAAGGCAACAGAATTCAGCTAGGTTAATTTACAGGATTTTTCCACAGTCCACTGCTTCCTTTCATCCTAACAAATTCAGGATATTAATGCACATTTGCTGAAATATAATTTTTGGAACAGCAGCATGGACCAAGATAAATACATTTGCTTGGTTTCACAATTTCATCTGTGCTTTATATTCTACATATCACGTATAAAGATCTACACTAAATAAAGTTACTGCTTTAAGCCACAGTGAAGAAGGTACTGCAGAAGTAAAAAAAAAAAGAACCCCAAACTTAAAATACTATGACCAAAGCTTCTTAAAATATTCATTAATCTACATTTGTAGCAAGTGAGCATTGTCTTAAGACAGGCTTTCTTAAACAATTGAAAACACTTCGGGCTAAAAACATTAGTGACAGATGTAAATACTCACTGTCAGGTGAACAATACTGAAAATCATTCACACGGGGGGGGTTTATGCTTATTTCATAATTTGGAGCCAATTTATTTGATTTCGACCTCAGTTCCATTTTCCCCATCTGCTGAATTCAACTTACATAGTCAAGAGGCTAAGACTTGTCAATTTATTTATTTATTCATTTTAAAGAAGAGAAGAGAGAGACTTCATCACATGCTCTTCAAGCTAGCAGGGACAGGGAAAATAGATTGCAGGGAGCATAAGGGAGGGGTGAGTGTTGTTCTGTGTGAACACTGGTTTTTGTAGGGGTTTTTTTGTTCTTTTTAAAAAGATTCTCCACTGGTTACCCATGCAAGATCTAAAAGGCCTCTCAGTCACTACTCAGTGAATGACTTAATTTAGTCCGTAAGTTCCTTCCCCAAAAAGACGAAAAAAAGTCATAAGGGCAGCAGAGGTTCTCTCTACAAGTCATATGCAACAGTGACCATCTCTCACCATGGGAGCTTTCAGTACCTCAACAGCTACAGGAGGAAAAAAAAGGACTCCACAGGGAAGGAAGAAAGTATTAAATTCATCAGTTATAGGAGCAACAAGATATTGCCCTCATGTACAACACTACCAGGCATCATTTGCAGGCTTTAGAAAAGCCACATACACATGCATCTTACTGTCATCCACAGCACTTGAGAAAATTCCTTGTGGAGGCTCACTAGTCAGTTTAATAGCACTTTGCTCCCAAAGGAATTTGGTTCCTACTAGTATCACGTTTAATAAACACTCTGGAAGAACAATCAACAAGTTTTCAATGGTATTGCAGACAGAAATTAGCAAAACTGCAGCCTACCTGTACTAATCCTGTCAAACAGCTTTATAAAGGATGCATCAAGTGGTCACTGTTCTCCATAAAGTGCGTTGTCCAAATGGCATTAGACATGTACAGAAGTGATCCACTGGAACTCATCATCTAACATTCCAACAAACATTAGTTGTTTAACTGTCTGTACTAAAATATGGTTTTACCTCCATAAGACTTCTGAAAACTGCTTTTTCTATAATGCATACATTTTTCTTGCCATTGTGCTGTCTAGGCTAAGACATGAGAAAGTCAGGTAAGACACAACCAAAAAAGACATGCACTAAATTCAAGACGCATTTCATCTACTAACTACAAGATTTGCTACCTTTTCCACAGAAATAAGATTGATTTAACATAATTTGTTATCAATTAGTCCATCTTTCAATCTCATCCCCTTTTTGGAACTACTTGGTAGCATTATTTAGAACTACTTACAAGTAATTCAATCTTTTCCTCGATATTTTCTCCAGAAACTAAAATTCTCTAATTCCCTACTCCACCTCCCCCTGTTCTGAAGAGAATTGGGCACTGGTTTTGCCCTTTCCTTGTCTTCTAGAGGATGTTATTTATCCAAAAGCTCTCAGTGACAGTCACTAATGGAATTACACTATAATGATCTCAGTGCTATGAATTCTATATTACAGTGTAATGATAAATAAAATACATGCAAACAACCCGAGCATCTTATTTATCTCTATATTCTTTAACCTCCTTCTTTTTCCTATTTTAAGCTGTGACCTTACTCTTTGATGCAGATAGTAGCTGTGCTTGCTTTTTGAGTGGTCTGAGATGCAATCACAATACATTAATCTTAAAAGCGCAGGCTCTCTAATTAATACTTTGAAATACAATTCTCTCTCTCATTCTCTCACCCCCCCAAAGTGAAATTCAATCAAAAGTCTCTTTTTGGAAACTCAGTAAACAGTGTTCTGAAGAGTTTGGTGTTATTAGATGTGTATATGAATTTTATTCTACTGCCATGTCACAGAAGATGAGAAAAAGACTGGAATGCAGAAGAGGAAAGTAGCAGCAGCAAACAAATGAGGAGGATCACCACATTAGAGAAAGCAAACTCTCCTATTGCTAGAACTGAAATCTATGCACAATACACAGAATCTAAGTCAGACTGCTTGTCATACAGCATGCCTGAACCCAGCAAAGTGAACTCTCCTAACATTTATATGATACATCCCTTAAGCCCTTCCCTTTTAGGTATTAGAACTGCAGAGCTAAGTGCTGAGGCGCATTCTCTACACAGTTATGAAAATACTTATCACTGTAAATCTTTCAGAACCTCAGGAATTTAGGAAAAAATATCCATCTGAGAGATGGAACAGACCACTGCAGAAGATGATATGGGGAAAAATAGCTCATGCAATTCAGTATTTTAAAACAATGGATTCAACTCTTAGCCCTTTTCTGTACGAACTTCATTTAGTGTGTTTTACTACTATGAGCAGACTTTGCTCTTTCCAGGCAGTAACCATGCTATGACAGAACCTAGCCCCATGGCTTGGGAAATCCAGCCTCAGTGTTTGCTGGAGATCCTGCTCCACCTTTCTGGAAGTCAGTATTTACAGTTATGTATATTTTTCTCTACAACTATTCAGTTTATTAACATTAAGCATTCAACTTTTGGGGGCCTTATTTTATATATTGCAAAAGATGTCGTTTGAGCAGAAGACTCCCTTACCCATAAGAGAACACAACAGGTGTAATTCAGCAAGCTTATATATACCTTTATTGTGTATATATTTATTGCATTTTAGTTTCTAAAAGCATAAACAAACATTAAAGCATAACAAAGATTCAACCAACTCATAGACTTCAGAAAATTACATCTTCTGAAAATCTATTTGGCTAATTGAGGGAAAATCCATCCTACATATCATTCTCCTGTATGAGAGGTTGTTATTCCAAAGCAGAAAGCAAACATTTCTCTCAATCTTCAATTTTCACAATTTCAGTAATAATATCTACCACATCTTTGCAGTGTGTTTTATATTCTTAAAGTGCTTTAATTCAATTCTTCATTCATTAAAGGCTCATCAGTAACATACACAGTGTGAAAAAAAATCTTTAAAAAGATCTTGAACATATGTTTCTGCTCTTTTATGCTGCAGCCTACTGTGAAACTGCTCAACTATGAAATCAGATATTTTAAAGGCTATTTAACATTGTGAATTTTTCACAGAACATCATCACAATTACTGAACACAAGATGCTTCTGTAACTGTGTTTAGTGGTCCTCAGGTTCACACCCCTACCTGCATAATCCAGAAGCATTCACTTCCTTACACTAATCTAAAGAAAAGTGAAGCCCAAGACTTACAAGGACATGGGAGTAATATTGCTAAGCAGAACGGATTTCCCTACTGTGTTTACAAAAAGACACGAGACACTATATTAAAAAAACCCTCATTACATCACAATCTCTCTCATGTACAATAGTGAGAAGAGTATTAGATTGATCAGATATAATTTGTTCTCAACAAATTGATGTTGGCTTTTATTTATCCATTATATTTTGGTGTGCTTCCAAAATGCTTTATTATTTTTCCAAGAACTGAAGTTATACTGACTATACATTTCCTAATTTTTTTCCCTTAGAGTCGCAAGTTTCTGGCACAAAGGTGCTTGAAATATTAAATAATTTTATCTTTTATCCTTGAAAATGTCTCCAAAATAAACATTTTTCTCTCTTCTTATTGCAAAGACTTTACATTAGTGAGTATGTAAAGTAAAATGCTATCACCTCCTATCTGGAGAGTGACCACTAAACTGTGTTCAACATATCACTTAAAACTGCTGAATTTTGGGGGAACCTTTGACGTCACATTAAAGATGTCTGTATGCATTCGAAAGAAAAAATTAAAATATGAAAAAAAAAAATCAATCAACTGGGCTTTTTTCTGTGATGTCATATACAACCTTCAGCCACATTAAAGCAACAGTCTATCTACATAGTACTGGGAGAGGAGAAGGGGACAAATAGGAGAAGAAAGTCATAGCTTTCCTGAGATGATGCTTATGTATGAGCACTAAAAGTCCTATATGAACAAATACAATTGCTCATTGTACAACAAATACATTAGCAATAATCATATCTATAGGACTGCTAAATTAGAATATAAAAGAAAATATAGAAAAGCAAATTGGGACCATCCTCTTGGCGGTACAAAGTGTTCCATTAAGAAACTCTCAAAATAAAACAAGCTAAAAAAAACCCCAAACTACATTTAAGTCACTACATTATATATAATCTGAACTTTCCTTCAAAACCAACAGCTTCATTTCAGTATCCTCGTCATGGTAATGTGAAAACTTTCAAAATAATGCGGAATTTTAATTCCCCATTATAACTTTGAGGAAGTTATATTTGAAATCAAGCTCAGTCCATGAACTAAAATACAACTGCAGCATTTGGCAACATAGGAAATGTGCCAAAATTTCTTGGAACATTCCCACTGTCATAATATTAAAGAAACTAAAAGTATCTACAATATGCAAATAGTATCAACCCAGCCAATGTTCTGCCTATGCTATTGTACCAATTCATTTGTGACTAATGAAAAATCCACTAATGAATAAAACATATATTCCAAAAATAAAATAGTTATAAATAAATTCTAAAAATACAATTACCCTTCTAAAATTGGTAGAGCATCTCCATTACATCTGGATGTAGCAGAAGTTAAATGTACTTGATCCAGAATTGTTTTTAAAGCAATTTTTTTCCAACGCTCTCTGAATATAGCACTACTTACTACTCTGTAAATAACAAAGTGTCTGAACTATCACTAGTAGAAAATGACTGCAAGTGTGGTGTTAGTAGAGATGAACAAAACCAGGGAGTGTCTGCTGCATTACCGTCACATTTGTGAAACCTTTCAAAAAGCTTTATTTTTATAAAGAAAAAATTTATATGAAATTGGAAAATAACAAAAAATAACCAGTAATCTTTACAGGCAGCTCAGCTGCAGCTTTTGGATCTACTAATATTTATGAAACCCCATGTTGCAGTACTGAACTTGCCACGCGCAAACTGTAGCCACAGAACCACCTATGTGAATGACGCATGAATAACCTTGAGTTCCTTAAACATTTTATGCTTATTTTGGATCAGACATATTCTCTGAATAAGTACAACAGTTTTCAAGAAAACCATACTTGTAGAGAGTCTTAGGTTGACGTCCTGGTATTAGATAAGTGTGACCATTTAAGATAATAAATGACAATGTACAAAAAATTAATTTAGAAAAAGAAGACTGGTACAACAGCATCTATTTTCACCAAATCAGGCCAAGTGAACTCCTTGTACCTCAATAATTTGAGTCTTATCTTTCCCTGTTCTTCATCATAGCATCAACCAATCATGTAGGCTGGTCCTCCAGGGGTCATCTAGTACTCAAAGTAGGTCCAGCTGCAGCTGGTTACTTAGGGGATTGTCCACTGAAGTTCTGAGTATCTCTAAGTATAGAGACTCCACAGCCTCTCTGGACAGCCTGTTTCAGTGTTTAATGACCCTCGAGCTGAGCCAAAAAGTTTCCTGTGTTCCTACATTTGTCCTTTGCCTCTCATTCTTTCACTGTGCATCTCTGACAAAAGCCTGGCATCATCTTCTCTGTGTTCTAGGTAAACACTTGCTAATCTGGCTGGGGATGAAGTTGACCTTCTTTGCAGCAAGAGCACACTGCTGATTCGTATTCAGCATCAGGAGCCCCAAGTATTTTTCTGCAAAGCTGCTTTCTAGCCAGTTTAGCACCAGCCTGTTCTGTTGTACAGGATTACTCCATTCCAGATGCAGGACCCTGCATTTGTCCTTGCTGAACTTCATGAGGTTCCTATCAGCCCATTTTTCCCGCTTGCAGCATCTTAGATCCTCTTATACATAAGAACTTTCATCAAATACACTTGACAAGGAGAAGAGGTTTAATGGTGTAAAACTGCAACACAAGATTTCATGGATGTGTCTTGCTTCAGGATTTCTATGCCAACAACAACAAAAATTCTGCTTTGTGATTAATAAGATTTCAGTGTTTGCTTCTATCCTGATGTTGTTCAGGTCACAAAGATTTAAAAAAAGGAAATCACTCCAGAAAATGCAATATCCTAGGACAAGGGATACCCAAGTCCAAGCTTAGAAACAACATTTCCTGGAAAAATTATTCTAGCACTGTTTGTTACAACAATGCTGGCACACTCCTTTGAAGAATCTCATAACTAGCTGTCATCAGACCCAGAACAAAAATCTGCTAGACTACAATTTTGATTTAATAGGGCAGAAGCTATGCTCCTAACAGAAAAGCAACACAAAATCACAAAAAAACCCAACCAGCTGAGCAGCTCAATATCACGCATGTACTAAGCTGTATTTGTAACCTTTCCTAAACTTTTAAAAGTAATTCTCTTCAGACTGTTAGGTTTCTTTTGGTGAAAGACATGTAGAAAATTTTATAACACAGATGTAATATATAAAATCTGGACTGAAAATAAAGATAAGAAAGATTGGACTTTAGCAAACACGACTAGAAAAAAGCTGAACCAGAACAACATGCACAAGAGACAAGAGCATAGAACCTTAAAGACTGCATTATTATTTATAAAATCCCACCAGCAGGCATTTACTGCATTTAAACACACTGGTAATTAGTTCAGTCTAGCAATGGAAAGTAATTAAGTCCAAAAAAGTATCTGAAAGTCTTCTGTGAAGGAACAGTTCTAACATCTATCTGAAGTTAATCAAAGAAGAAATCATCTCAGCACTGATGAAGAGTGAGGAGGAATGAATGATTCAGTGAACTGATGTAAATCAAAATCTTATAGCTGACTTAGTGTTTTTCAAATGGAAATGAGACTTTTTGTATCAAATTGATTTGGATTCCAGAGGCAAGCTGCTTGCCCTGTTTCTCTGAAAAGAATTGACTGAAATGCATGAAAAAAGAGAGTAACTTCATAACAGGGAAAGAAATCAGAAAGTGGCCTGCATCTGTAGGAAATCGGAATAAAATTCCCATCACTCATATCATACTTTTCCAAATCAGGTCCAAATATCAACATTACAACTGCAGTTCACAGGAGCTACAAGGAATCCTCTGTCCTTGAAATAATGCAATAATGAATATCTGGTATTTTTAAGGACTATAAGCATTCAGTTTGTCTTTACAGATACAATTTATTTAAGTAGTTAGAAATATTACATAACCCATAAGTCAGTAAGGAGAGAACCATTTATAAAGTTACTGTTTTGAAACTTGTTAAATATAATTTGTTATTGTTGTCATTGCCTAAAACATTAGAAATACCCTCTTTGAAATGAACCATTACAATCAACTTAATCCAGACTATTGTCCCATTACTGGACAGTTAAGTCAAAGAAACATTAGAAATTAAAGTATATTATTAATGTTACATATCTTTGAAGTTTGCTCTGTGATTTTATAAAATGAGATTTTCCCCACAGAAGTCCCTTCAAATGACTTAGGCAGATAAAATCTATTTTACTGCTATAAATCCCATTAAGAAGGTACCCATTCTGTTTAGAATTTGTAAGCACTACAGTCAAAATTAAATCCACTTGATTAGTAAGATTCTGTTATAGATGAGACTAGAAATGAGAAGGTTGCTGCAATGAAACTGAAAAAAAAAAAGACAAGTCTGACAAATTACTGACTTAGTAATTAAAGACCTTATGTACTACTACTACATCATATATATACAGCTCTTTTCCCCATTACAAAACCTGAATATTCTGGAAACATCAATATTCCGTAATTGTGTCACGTTTTACATTCCCAAACTACAACAGCTCCCTTCCAGCCATCATTGAATTTAAATACTTCTGGTACGACAAATGTTAGGAAAAATAAATTCTTAGAACATGGAAAAGAATCTTCTTTTCATGTGAACAATATTCACAAATTTCCTTGGCCACTTCCCCAGTTCATCTGAATAGGACTTCTGCTCTCCAGATATTCACATACAATGTACTTCTCACTTTTATGTAAGAGAAAACCCTCCTAGACAAGAACTGCTTGTAATTTTTGTAAGAATTTCTTTTGTGGTCTTACAAAAAAATATTGCAACTTTGCAAGAGTTAAACATTTAAAAATAAATTAAGTGGAAAAAATAAAATTGCATCTCTTCAGTTGACAAGGTACTATTTCAGGCCTAATCCTTCATTTATACACACACAGAGGTGTCCTGGTATGTACAGCCCCAATGAATGCTGCGCATGAATGCTGATAACATACGTAAAGGAGCGAAGAAATATAGCTGATGGAAGCACTTCAGTTTGTGAAGGAGACATGAGCAGAGACAGCATCCAGGAAATTAGCTGTTAAGGTCACAACAATCAAATCCCAAATCAAATTTACAACTGCATCTAAGAAACACAGGTTCAGTCTCAAGGTTTCATACTAGAATTTAAGTTTCTATATTCCTAATTAAGGTCCCACTCAGGGAAATAAAAAAATCACCTAATTAACTTTAAGCACAAACTTAAAATTGAGAATGAGGTACAAGCCTATCTTTAAATTAACCGTATGTATAAATGTTACCGGAGTCAGCCTTAAGAGGCTCTTCAAACCCTTTAATGGATGATCATGACAGAGCATAAAAATTATACATGTCATTCTACTCATCTGTGCAGTGTCTGACAACAGAAATTACATGTAATCGTGAAGTTAAAGATATTTCAGTCTTCTTAAATATCTTCAATTACCCTTAACTGCTGAGATTTTTTTTTAGCAAGGACACATTTCAAGAATTCTAACTTTGATTCTATAGATCTTATCTATATTTTTAGAAGAAATAATAAGCTATCTGTACTCAATAAAGAGAGGGCTATAATGCACTCTTATGTGACCTTTACCTGTTTCTACATCCGTTAAATGCAGCATGGAATCAAAGCCCCCACTGAGGATCCTTCTTCCACAAGACGACCACCGGGCAGCTCGAACAGCACAGGAGTGACAGGAGTATGTTTTTAAACAGCAGCCTGTATCTACGGCATCCCATACCTTAAAAAGAAGGATGAGGACAACTTTATAAAGAATCACAATATTTTTTTCCATATACTGATAACTAGCTACGGCAAATCATCGTGGCTGAGAAAGCTTTGCATTCTGAAGTCGTATCTGCTACGCTGTGAACGTCTGTTTGAAATAATTGCACGGTTGATTAGAATTAGGGCATTTTATTAACAAGGCACAAATCAGTAATAGATCTTTATGACTTGTATTATTTCTTGAAATGTCTATGTTGCTCTCAATAGCAATTCATGCTATACTCTCCCACACATAATTCTGTGCAGGGACGTATCCAAATAAATTTTCCTTCAAAATTTTTGTCTCTATCATATCTTGCTTTCCATTGAGTAAGAGGAACCCTAGCAGATTACAGCTTTCACATCTGCCTATAGATAGGTTATTATTGTATTTCTCACTCAGTTTTTAATTTTAACTAGAATTTTACCTTAACTTCACTGAGGAGGCAGATAAGAATATCATGCAGCAACATGGAGATTTCTAAGGACTGGTCTAAGTCTTCTCATTTTCCAGTTTCTTCTGGACAGAATTGATTTATGCTGAGCACTTCTGAAAATCCTATTCTATTAGTTATCCAATTTTTTAAAAGTATATACCAACTAATGTTTTCAGAACATAAATCATCCTGCTCATATTTAAAAAAAAAAAAAATACAGAGAAAGGCAACTGTTTCCAAATAATATATTTCAGAAAACAGAACTAGTCTGAATTACAATTTCAGTTACCAAATACAGTTCACAATAATCAAAAGCACATCCTTTTCATGGTGCTCTTTTGTCACCATCTTTTTTTAAGATAAAATTAGAAGTTCAGCAACAAATGACCCATATAGAAATCCAGTACGCTTACTTCTGTGATAGAAGGCTAAATATCAAACCTATTTTCCCTATGAATATTCTGCTTTAGTAAAAGCTAGATTATAAAATATCTTACGATTGTATGATAGAATATAATACCTGTTGAGTTGTCTAATAAAATGGATAACAAATACTATAACCATACCAGTAAATCCTACATTTTATTACTTCTAATATTAGTAGTACAAAATAAATCAACACTTTGATAGTGCTTCATGATAGTTTTATTGCAGTTTTAGTAAACCCAAGACAGTTTATTTTAAGCCACCATTTTACTTCATGGTACTTCTCTTGCAATTAGTCATTTTCATCCTGCAAAAACTTGCAGGATGAAAATAACACTGCCTAAGAGCTTAGAAGGTTACTCTGAATTTTGTCTATTCTAACCAATTTCTCAATTCTAACATTGTTTATATAATGCTGGGAACAGACTAGGCAATCAACAGAATACCAAAAAATTACTTTTTTTAACGTGAGATGAAATTCAACCTTCATGTATGTCAACACAAGAGCGCTGAACTTAGTAACAAAATAAAATTGACTGTATGTGCATTTTAAAGGATGTTAAAAATAAAAACAACTCGTTAAATCAGAAAATATAAGTAGATGCTTGCTTTCTTGTGGCAACAGCACAATTCACAATACAGGAGAATTTAAGGGGGGAGAAAAAAGGAAGACTTTTGGTAATGTATTTTTATCTTTAATTATATTTTCTTCTTACTGGACAAAATAGACTCACTGACAATATCATTATTATATAGCCCATACTCAGAAGACAACATTCCTTTATAGAAAATTATTTCATCAAAGTATCTTCTAGCATGGAGCACAGTTCTGCAATGCATAGCAACCAATTATCATTAATTATTTGAATAGTCAGTTAAGACTGGAACCGTGATGGCCATACCATAAGTATTCTACCCTATCCACAAGAAAAGAAATTCGGAAAATTTTAATATTAAACTGCTTTTGAAAGTAAGTTTCTCTGCTTTAATGAGTTTTAATGATCATTTCAAGCTTCACAATTAAAAAGGGGTTAATTGTGTCTTGGAGGGCTTTTAATATGAGTAAGCTAATGAATGAATCAAGATGAAAGGAAACACAGGTTGTACATGCTTCAGGTATTCGTCTGTCATGTTTTAGTGATTAAGTATGAAAACTCAATTTTCAGAAGAAAGATAAAGCAAAGCAAGTTCAACAGCACTTCTGAGTTCCTGCTTGAACTTGATTAAAAAAAAAGCACTGTATAAATGGAAAAAGTGCACCCCTAAAGCTGCACATTTCCCTCCATTATGTGAAATGGAATAAACGATTGACTCTTGTAGACCACTGAGCACGCACAAGGGACGAGTTACTGAATACTATATTTCTCTCGACTGTTACACTTGCCATCAGCTCTCTTTGCTCAGGTAATGGCAGTGTTGCAATGCCTCTGGAATTAGAGCCACATGGGCAAGGCAGTCTTGACTGAGGAAATTCACTTAGTTTATTGCCAATTAATGCAAATTTTTAATTACAGATTCAGGTATTGAGGAAAAAAGAGAAGAGTTAAACAAGCACCTTCCTTCCCCAGGCCCCACTTCTGTCCAGTGCTTCTCCTCCCCCTCCTCCTACTCCAGCTTCACCTGTTTTCACCAGTGTTATGCTCAGTCCCATCCCTTCAATGAGACAACGGCCATCGCAGGAGGCTAGGATCAAGACCTAGAGGTTTCTTGTTGCCTCTCCTTGCACCTTACTCTCTTCATCCTCTGCTCTTTGATTGTTATTGCTCCTCTGCTCCCTCTCTCCAAGTGCACACCTCTTCCCCGGTCTCCCCCCATCACCTTCTGTGTGTCCTCACGTTTCCTCACGTGTCCTTGTGGCTGCCCCCTTTCTTCAATATACATGAAGAGAGACACCACGTGTTCATCTGAAGTTTTGGCACACAGTGAGATGTTTTTCATTCGTTTCAGAGCAAGCTGGAACCAGCTGCAGATCTCTTCCCACCCCTGCAGTCCCTGCTACCAAACCCCACAGTTAATGCCCAGTGTAAGCCATCAAGTTTAGATGGAAGCGTTAGGATAGACGTCCACCAAGATACGGTCCAATACAGATTCACTGGAGCCCACAAGTGTGCTTTTCAATAATGCTGAGAGGTGCCACTTCTGCTGTGGCTTCACAGTTTAATGGAAAGAGAAGTCAAACACGGCAGCAGAAGAGGATGGCAGACCCTGTCCTGCTGTGCAGTGGCAATGCTCTGCAAGCTTCATCCAGGCGCATTCAATCTTAGGTATGGTTCCATAAGGCCTACTTGGGATTTTCCTTCAAGTCTCACATCTGGTGAATTTAGCTTAGTGTAGTTTTGATACATTAGCGTGTGCCCTGCTGCAAGGAGGATACATTGCAGTGCATCCCCAGAAGAACAATTTCAGAGTCTTAAGTTTCAATATTCATCTTCCAGAAGAAAAGGGAAGCTCTACTTGCTATCTGCAAGAAGTGGTATTTGATATTTACAGTTAGCTCTTCAGCAATCACTTAAGAGATGCAGCCACGCTCACAGAAAGTCATATAAAGGTGAGCCATTGCATATCAAGAAACATAAATGGGTGTGCAGAACTGAAAACAAGGCAATTAAAGGACAAGCTACATACCTTCTGTACAAATAGGAAATTACGAAAATTACAGCTGTGAATGCTCAGCTGTAACAGAACGTGTCTGCCCCAAGTTACAAACACCATTCTGTGCCTAGAAGTGACAGAGATGTTAACCATGTTATGCCCACAAATGGAGAATCTACTGTATTTCATTACCAAGGAAAGATGCTTCAAATCCCATCAGAGGATCATGGCAAAGCCACCATCAAGTCTGCATTTGCTTAGAGAGTCTCTTAAGTAGTTCCCCATTCCTGTGTATTTCTACTGCTTAATCATAATAAAGGAAAAATGCGGCTAGAAGGAGAGTTCCACCATACTCTATCCAAAGCTTGAGATGAAAGTCTACTCAGTAGCTGGTACTTACTCCGTACAGGCAGCCACTGTCATTAAAAAAACAGAGGCTGCAAAGGGATGAGTCCTTTGCATGGGAGTTTGCCTCTCTGCCAAACACTCAGATGTCAGATTAATAGATTCTCCAGGATGAAAGGCATTTCAGAGTTTTTCTTTCAACTGAGATCGTCAAGTGCTTCAAGAATAACTTGTGTGGAGGTACTTTTTTTCTAGTCCTTTTTTCTTCACTTTTTCCATATGCTGGATATGATGGTTCAAACCAGGATGGAACAATAAGCCTGAGAGACTGCATGGGTGTAACCAGCAGGGTTGATGTAATGACCCACATCCCCAAAGAGCATCCATCATGATGCCTGAACCCAGAAGCATGTTCTCTAAATTACCAAGATAAATAATAAACAAACAGACACTAATCAACTGGTTTAGAGCATGGCAATTCTGCAAGGAATATAGAACTAGGTTACAATATAGCCACCAGATTTCAGTCTTAAAAGAAAATTTGTTCAAGGCCTGGTACAAAACAGAGGACAAGAGAGTCCCCTAGGAACTAGGGCCATTAAAAACTTCCTATTTCAAGTGAATGAAGTTGCTGATCATGCCTTTGCTGCCAAAAAGGAACATGAATTGCAGGCTCTTTACCAGAAGAGGATCCCAAACTCATTCTTCTGAGTGGCATCTACACATGAGCTCAGAAAAAGGATTTGAATCCAGGAACAGTCTAAGGCTGAAGGCAAAGGCTGCAACACTATAATTTAAAAAGTCATGGTTGTAACAACTACAGCTTTAATTTCAAAGTAAGTGTTTTTAAGAAATTAAGTGTCTTAGAACTATTTAGAAAGTTATAAATACGAAAGGCTGCTGAACTTTAAGCATACCTGGTAATAAATACCTTTAAAATAAAGGTCTATAAAATAAACGCATAGATTCACATGGAATAAAGGCTTACATATTTAGTACATAATAAATTACTCAGGCAGGGGGAAGGGTTCATTAAAAAATATACAGCCTGAGATATATATCTTCCTTCATAGGCATTTAAACATGTGTATCAAATATTACAGGACTAGACACTATCACGCATCTGTCAAAGGAAGACAGATTTATATTCAATTATTTTTACCACGAGATCAATTGTTTTAAGTATTGTTGCTTGCTTCAAAACTCAGCTTTTAGAGAAACGTAGTATTATTTCTAGATTAAATACTAAATTCTCATTAAATCTGAGGTTGCTCTTTTATCTTGTGATGTCAGATGTGATTTTAATTGCTGAGATAAAACGTTAAAAGGACAAATTTCAGCCTGCTACTCTGAAAATACTGCTTATTGCCACCCATTCAAGCAATGTTTTACATTATAAACAGTAACCAGTCCATCCTTTCCCCTTATAAAGAATCCCCAAACCAATGAAATATGTCACAAGGAGAAAAGCACATATTACTGTATTACCTCCCCTACATCTACAATTATCAACTAATGAATTCTCCAATATTTGAAAGAAATAAACAGCCAAGACTCAAAGCTTTGAAATTAGGTAGTAATTTTCAAAGATTTTCTTCAATGCCTTTCTGGCATTAAGGTATCATGAACACTTTAAACTGCATTTTTTCCCATTTTATTAAAATCTGCTTTAATGTGTCAAGCTGGTTCATATTTCACTACTAGTTATTACTCTTCTGTACTTCACTATTTATAACATAGCCTTTCCACTTCTTTTCCATCAACTGCTTTCATTTCATTTCTTCTCATATTATAGCAAGTATGGTGATTACATAGTTATCTGGTAGGATTAATATATGGGGCCAAAATTGCAGGTACAAACAGCCAAGTGACAAAATTATACTAGAGATTTCTTTTAAAAAGCAATTTTCTTTTTACTTTCTGTGAAGCATGTTGTAATTCAATTGCTCTTTCACATTCTTTATAATATTTGGAAATAAAGGCTTTAGAAGTTGCTTGCTTTCCTGTATAGCTTAGGAATGTTGTGAAAATACTCTAACCAGCGTTTTAGGTAACATAACCAGACCTCCTCACCCTCAAGATCAAAAGTCCACAAATCACATATGCAACTAAACAATATAACAGATGAGATTTATTATAGATGGTATATTTACAGATCCTATTTTCTGAATGAAAGCTTTCAGGAAAACAGCCCTTGAAAATAAGTACTTTGGGTTGAAGATAAAAACTCTCTTGGTAAGTCACAAAAGAAAGCAGGAGAGGGTAAGCACTTGATACTCAAGTAAACAGCAGTCACAGAAGAATGTTCAGGGGTCTGCTATGCTATCAACCAGCTCATAGGACAAAAAATAAAGGCTTTTCTCTTACTGACCATCCAAACTAGGGATTCATTCCTAGGAAAAAACCTCACAGCAACATAAGCAGAGTAACCCAAGTAATGTGAGAACTCATCAATCATATGAAGACTGATAAATTAGGAATTGAGCACATCTCTTCCACTGTCATTCTATGATTATCTCTAACGTGCTTGCCTCCAAGCAAATTAGACTGCAGAAAAAATATAGCAGCCTTACTTTTAGAAATAGTAAGGTGCGTCTATTCAAACAGACAGTCACTAATTGCGCAGTGAACCTAAGAACAATGATTCAATTGGGATAAATTAGAGGCTGGAAGCAAGTATCAGGAATTAAGCTCTACGCATTTTGAATTTGCATGCATAAAGGAACTACAGCAGAGCCAATCAAGAATACTAAACAAGAAATTAATTTCTGAGGCATGCATAACAAAATTAAAAAAATTTTTAATGGATTGATTCAAGTTAATTTCAATATAACATCCATAGTAAAACAACAGAATTCTTCCCCCTCAACTTAACCAAGTTGTGCCATTCTTCTGTAATTACCAACTTCCTCTGTCAATGGCTCCTACTACATGAACAACAACAAGAAATTGTTTCCAACTTCTCGATTAATCTAAATACAAAGATGGCATTTAAGAAACAGCCTTGTTCAAGGATGATGTGGGATAGTACTGAGTTATGGGAAGCATGAAGAACTACTATGCTTCAACTAGAACATATGCTGCTCCCTTCCAAAGCATGCTCAGGTTGCTCCACAGACTTGTGAAGCTGAAGAGACATGACCCTCTCCTTTCCCTTTTTGGAATAACATTGCTCCCTGGTGTATCTCAAGGAGCAAAAAAACTGGTTTGTCTTTTTTTTTTTTAACTGCAGAACTGAATTAGTCTCTGAAATCTGAACAGGTCATATCTGCTAACATGCATAGATTCAAGAGAATGGTACTCACTGAACCATACTGCTTTTCTGATCTCCTCAATATCTAAATACTCTAATTTCTAATAAATACAGTAAAGCAGGAAGCCCCACACTATCTACAGAAAATCATGTCTTTTCTAGTTTGCAAAGTTGGCTCAGAACTGTAGTGTTAAAGGTTCTTTGAAAGTCAATGAGCGAGAGGGCCAGCAGTCGTCCCACGGAAAAATTACAAAAAGGTATTTGCTGCTGCTGCTTCTTCAGATTCCCCACTTGGATGAGGTGCAGCTTTGGGCAGGATTGCAAGAGTTAAACATGCCCCTTGGGTATCTCAAACCAATAGCAGTAAGAAGAAGAAGTCACTCACATAAACAGGTACATTCTTTTGTTAATAGAATTGAAGCAAAAGAAAGCCAGGAAAAAAAAACAACAAATAGCTGAAAATCAATAAATAGCCAAGCATTTTAACTGGTAGGTTAAAGAGGCCTAAGCCTCTCCTGCCACTGCATGATTGAAAAACATCTGATCTGGAATGGGCATGGAATGTAACATGTATAAATTCCTAAAGTAACTACAGGAAAATTTAGAATGTTTCATTGTTGTTTCAATTCGTGTCTTCTTAAACTAGTGAGCTAATTATAGTTTTAGTAAAAGCTAAAATTTGTTGAAAGGGGAATTAAAAAATGGATCACTCTCTTTGCACTCTTATGTCTCAACATGTAGTTAAACT